TGCTTGCGTATCCTAATGCAATGTGTTCTTGATGCAAACGCAGTTTTCAGCACGAAAATCCACTAGTACTCTCGTCCCAGCCCCCGCGCATTGTACCACGAGTGACAATTAGCTCTGAGTGAAGCCGCGTGTGCGAAAGCTCCAGGTTTTTGTTCTTCTCGCGTTCTTCTTCGAGCTTCTCATCCAGGCGGGCGCACTTGCTTTTTCAAGCGCCCCAGTTTGTCGTTGAGCTTGTCTACGTCGTGTCGATCGATGTGCGCCTTCTCTTTGAGTGTGTCCAGCTGAATCAGGAGTAGTTTTTCTGCTGCACTCGCTTGACGATTGATCTTCGAGCTCGCTGATAACAGCGTCGGCCATAGTTCTACCACGACTACTAGCTCCGGTTCTCTTCGAGGCAGCCAATCCGTTGCTGTTATTGTTGGTAGAACTTCTGACGCGCTTCGATGGTGGCTCCGAGACCTCATCTCGCTCACGAGTCGTAGCTCGACTCGTAGTAGTTCGAGATACACTAGATGAAGTACGCTGGCGTTGGCGAGATTTGGCAACTTGGGCTCCACAACTTGATTCACTTGCGGGCACTGATGCGGTACTTGAGCGAGCATCCTGAGCGTGGATTGTGCGAGCCAACTGACCTCGATATCCGGCATTAGATCGAGCTGGAGAGACCGGTAACTGGTCTCGCTCATCACATTGGCGACGGCCACGCGCTGGGTTGGCTTGTGGCAGGTCTCAACAGGACGCTCGTGGTCTCCGCCTTGCTTTGGCATAGGAAACCGATATGTTTGAAGGCTGCGACCTTCGGTTTGCTCCTGCTCAAACTGGCGGTCGTTCAGCAGGGACGCCATTGGAATGCTCTCGACTGGAGTCGCATTCTGGCGCTGATATCGCTTTACATCTTCAATTGCAGGTAGTCTGGCGGTATTCGACCGTCTACGAGACACAGGCACACCACAACCGTCGGAAAAAATTGTGCCGGAGACGTGGACTGGGGAGTCGGGCTTAGCGAGAACCAGAATGTGTTCGAAACCTCTTTGTCGCTTGTGTTATGCTCGCTCTCGCTGCTACTCGGTCCGCGTGCTTCTTCGTCGTCGTCGTCATTCCCGAAGTTATCTGTGTCCACCAGGCGCTGGGCCGTTATCCTCGCTGTCTTCGCCATCGTCCAGGTTTGCTTCGTGTCCCACTCGTTCTTCAAGCACACGCTGAATTTGGCGTGCTCTTCGTACGCTGTCTGGACAACTGGGCTTTCCAGTTGGCTTAGTGGAGTTCAGTAGGGACTGAAGCTTCTTCTTTATCGAAGTAACGTCGCGGAGCACGCGACTCTCACGCTCAGCATAGATTTGATAGTTTCCCAAGACAGCATCCCACTCATTATTTTTTGCTCCTGATGGTTGAATATTTTCAATCTCGTTGAGAAGGATGTGTACATCCTCCTTCGAGTAGTTCTCGGATCCGGGTGTTCTGCCGCGGATTGCTGACATGGCCGACGTCGGAGGTGGCCAAGCCGCACTGGTGTCGAGGCGTGTGGACTGCGAATG